TTTCCTCGGTGCTGGCGATCTCTCACACTAACACATCCTTGAAACGGGCTCTTGGGTAGCTATCTACGTGCGCCGAGCTACACAAATGATGCGTCTATGTTTAGTGGGGAAATTTCAGTAAAACGACTCCGCCGACACTACAAAAAAAAAAATACTATGCGCGTTGGTTTCAGTCTCAAATAATAGTGGTGTTTGTTGGACCTTGAGGTGTGTTGCGTTGGTCAATAACATTTATACAAGGAATCTCTCTTTGTGACGCCCTACCAAATGGCAGCAAAGGATATCACTCCGAAAATCCCCTCCAAGACTAGCTCATGAACGCCATACATTTTAACACCGGACCAAAGGTGCTTACAATTTCACACCCATTGTCATCTCCGGGTGGTCGTGTACCTCGGGTCGAGGCGTCTTAAAGAAACCTTTCTGTGAAATAGGCGGAGACATCTAAATCCGCTGATGCTGTTACCGTTTCCTCTGTGTGGGGTTTGGGTACCTCTCAACAGAGATCTCCTCCACCCACTTCGAAGGGAGCGAAGACGGGGGAGCCTCCCCGGTCTAAAACCCCGGCGTTTGTTTTTTTAGTGCCGCAGTTAAAACCCGTTTAGCACTCTCGGGGGGGATCTCAACACCTTTCTTCCACAAAGGGGGCCTATTTGTTTGGTCAAGGGGCTCCCCCTTGAGGGCACCATCATTTTAATAGACCTAAATCATGGGGAAGTAACGGAAGCCACCACTGTTTTTTTTTTAATGCTTTTTTTCCCCGTCCGAAAGGCAAGGGGGGGGAAATAGGGGGCCCAGGGGGGGGGGGGGGGGGGGGGGAGGTTTCAACACAGGCAGTTTTGTTCAGCACAGGAATGAGTTTTGTCAGCTAAGCCCGTCTCCAGGCTATTGGTGGAAATTAGCGGCGGCTAAATATTCGCTTTCCATGATTGATGTCACGGCTCGCGTCGTCCCCTTTGAAGGGAAATAAAGAATTTAGAGCCATGTGGATTAATAGGGACAGGGCTGGGGGAATTTTACATGTCTGAGGGGGACTTCTGAGGGGGCTGAAGGGCCTAATGGCTGCACAGATATGGCACAATGCAGCGGAGACGATATGGTGTATCAGAGAGTGAAAGAAGACAAGTGAGACTACGACAGGGAGTACAAGCAAGAAGATGGTGTGAGAGAGAGAGAGAGAGAGAGAGAGAGGGAGCTATTTGCCTCAGAAGCCCAGAGTCAGATGATTAAAATCCCTTTAGGAGGCTTCTTTAAGAGAGACAGATGGGCAGACTGGTCTGTTTTTGGAACGCAATCAAATTGAAAAGATTAAAAAGGAGTCTCTTTTATTAGGAGGTGAGAAACAGTTACTTCTCTGCCACATGCCATCGTCGCCTCCACAGCAGTGGTCACGACTGCATTGGCATGCAACGCACATCACAGCCCTTGTTGGAGAAGAAATAAACATGGGATTAGGAAATGCAAGTCTTAGTGCATCACCGTGGGGTCTCTGAGAACTGGCAGCCTTTTTGATTTCTTGAATAAATACTTGTGACAGGAAAGGCTGAAAAACTTCAGGCTCTCATGTCTTCTAGAACCATTACAGGAGACTGTAAAGTGAGTCAGAGGAACTCAAGGACCTTTTCACCAATAGCTCCACTATTACATACCAAACGTTCACTTCATCTCAACGGCAAATCTGAACAGGTACAATTCAAATGTACATTCCCTCGGCTGCCACTGTACTTGAAAAGACTGGGTTTGCAGAGCAGAGTGATTCAAGCACCGGGAAAGGTGCTCGCTATTATTCCACCACGCTGCAGGAGTGCCATTTATGAAAAGGCTTAAATGGAAAGCAAGTGTGTGGTGGAGTCT